AAAAAGGCACACATTTTCCATCTAAATTACACAAAAAGAGGAAACCAAAGGTGGCTAGCAGTACACAATTATATTATGCATTTATATGATTTTATAAACGCATCTAAATTAACATATTTAAATTGTTTTTTGCTGAGATTTGATGCAGCGACGCAATTTTGCATCGTGATTACGCAATGACGTCACCGCGCAATGACATCGCGTCATTTAGCAACTTTTAGCAACAAATCAACCTTCCTTTAGCAACTTCCCCTGAAAATCAGTTGGCAACACTGTTTCTGTCTGATCATTACTGAGTTTCGTTAGTAGCACTGCTATGATGCACTGATGATGGGGCAGTCTGCCAACACTGATTAGAGTGGTCAACACTTCTAAACTGTTACATATGCAAACATAAATGTAATTGTAAATGTAGACCTAATATCTTGTTTTTAGAAGGCTACAATAAAAATGAATGAGTCAACCACGACTCTAGTGTAAATTCGTGTTACGCAACTGTTTGAAGTTTGCATGGTTTATTTCTACCAAGCCACCAACACAATAGTGTTTCAGTATGCTTATATTGACAATGCTATTTATAACATCAAGGCACATTATGTGTCATAAAGTTCAGTTTGTTCATTTTTATTTCTTTTTTGCTTATTGATTAAAAAATAACCACAATAATGTAGTAAAAGACATGTAAAATGTAAATCATTTAATGTAACAAACATAGAAATGTCTGGTACAGGAAGAATTCAGACTGAAATAAGTGAGCCAGGAAAACAGATTACTGGTGTACTTTATATATGTATTTATATATGAGTGTGAAGGCCCCATGAATGGTGTCAAATGCATTTAATTGGACTACATCCAAAACTCATGGACTGTTCCACAGAGATTAGACATAGTGTTCATTTACTGTGCATACTGTACATTGATGCAGTTAATAACACTGCACTTCCACTCTTTCTTATGCATGTCTTGAATTTTCTGGCATGACTGTGGGATACACTACATGACGAGGTTTTATATTTAGTATGGGCTTTGTGCACTGTGTTGGTATTTTCTAAAAATATAATCTGAGCGTAAAATGTTTTTCTACCAGACTGGGTTGGAAACAACACAGAAAATCTGTTTAGGTCATGTTCTTTCCGTGCCGTGGTCCCGATAATTGTCACAGGCAGTGCAAGCCAAAAAATAAGGCCTACAGAACTTAACCTTGGTTGGGATGTTGGTGCCGTTGCTTGCTAATGAGGCACAAAGACTCACTTTAAATGGCCAATAGGAGGTGCTACAATAAAGGTAAGCACATTTTGGGTCACAAAACCTCAACCATACATCATGTGGTGAAACCTACTTTGGCAAACTAGTCCAAAGCCGCTCTGCTGGTCAGAACAAAAGAGTTCAGATTCTCTGGAGTCTGTTATTAATAATGCAACAGCGGAGCATGGCGCTAACAAGGCTTTGACTGATCAGATCTAGATGCTGCATGCAATACAAATCAACCTTGGATAATTAGAAAGTGCATTCAGGAAGTATTGAGACCAAATTATTGGTTTGTTTCATGTATTTTATGTCGCAGCCTTTTGCTAATACTCCATACCCCATTATTGCACAAACACACAAAAAATGTAATTTATTAGAAAAGAAAAACTGAAATGAATGGCATTTTAAGGGGGTTTCTTACACCAAAATAACTAATAAAACAGCAGAAGCACAACAGTCTGCTTATTTCTCCTCACTAAAGCATACACATTTGGTTTATGACCAAACCGTCTTTTAATCTGCCACCACTCTTGTCTGTTATTGTCAGACTTATTCAGAAGATGATTTTCCAATAAAAATGCAAAAGGCAAAATTCTGTTTTCAATATTTTAATAATTTTAATCAAATAGCTCAAACAATAGGATACATAAACGGGTGATGCATAAAAATGGCAGGAATTATTTAAAAATGTGTGCGAGGATGATCCAAACGTTATCCCTTTTATATACCAAATAAATGCAGTGTTTTTTCTAGGATTTACTACATAGTGATTTGCATTAGAGGGAGTTAGACAAAGTTTTAAACGATGTAAAAAATATCTTCCCCAATTAATGGAATCCATTGCATTCTTTCACATATATAACACAGAAATAATAACATATCTCATCCAACCCCATAATTAGTATCATTATTATCATTATCATCACCTTGAGTACGTGACTGTTATTCTTCACAGATTTGGTCAGATCTGTCAAACAGACAGAAGAAATGTTTGCAAACGTTTGCAGTAGTTATTATAGTCAAAAACATAAGCCATGGGTCATAACGTTAGGCCCAATTTGATATAATGTAAAGACCCTTTCACTAGTGAAATGAATAAGCCTCAGGCTGAAGGATGTCTTCTGTCTCGGTCTCTTGTAACTCCTGATTTCTCTCAACATGGAGACATGAGAGCTCTCAGTGAATGAATTGGAAAGCTAAAAAAGCTTGGATAACAGTATCTTTGCAGCTCAATGTTTCCATATTCATCAGCACCTTTTATATGAGTTTGTCAAGTTTTTGTTCTTCTGCCAAACCAGCTATCAACAAGAAGCCATGTTTTTGAACCATCTGCAGTTTGTGTAATATGGAAGCATTCAATATTTAATAAAGCCAGAGCATTTTAAAGGAGCTGTCAATAGCACAAGCAACTCTGACCAGGCTGTGTTAAACAAAGTTACACATTTGTGTGACAAAAAACAGGAATGTTAAAAAAGCACAACAAAATTGTTTCTGCTGGGGCAATAATGCAAAATAGAAACAGCAGTTATTACACAACTTTGAGCTCATCTAGGGATTTATTCTGTAAATGTACATATATTTAGAATTTATGAACATTCAACAACAACTAAATAAAAACCTCAAGCAAGTTTTTTTATATGCATTTCGATAATGTTGTTCACATCTTGATGCTTTCATCCAGAATTTTTATGCAATATACCAACATTTGGATAAAAATACAGAAGTTGAAACCAGTTAAAAATCTACAAAGTTACCTTGGTTTTTGAAAGTTAACAGCTTACTCAGAGTTAACTTACTTGGGTTAGTTTAACCTGCTTTCTGGAATATACATAACTTAAAAATACACAACAGGCAGTCAGTTATGTATATTTTTAAGAAAACAGTGACATCTTGCATTACTTTATGATTTTAGTTTATCTTTTCAATAGGTTTGAAACTGAAGTTGAAATCACAGAAAGCTAATTTGGACCAGAACATCTCGCTGAGCAAGTCAGTTTAAGTTTAATGGCACCAAAATTGGACAGTAACTCTATTTAAGTATACTATTTAATCTACCTTTAAGTATTGAGGTTTGTCACCATCAGAGCAATGCTAGAGAACGAACGTTAAGTATGTTGAAGGAGATCCGTTGATCAAGCTTTCACCGGAAATTGACAAAGTATTTTCTGACTTTAGAATTCATTGTAATTAATATGAAAAACTGCAGAGACGAATGTGTATCTTTTTAGGCTTTGATCAATCGCTGCACTGCCTCATATCCACCTTATTTTTCCCGTAAGAATGGTTGCGGCCATTTGTAAATTTAATGTCTCTGGCTTACGGTCTCTTCTACGTCCAGCTATTTTTAGCTGTGCAAAACAGCTCTTTTTGCTGCTTGATATTGCAAATTGGTGTGTCTTACCAGATTCATTTAATGTATTATCTTAATTAGGAACACACTGGTTTGCAGTGCAAACAGTTTTACCATTTACTGCACTTTGTTATTCTTCTCGGTATTTCCCTGGACCAGAACATCTCGCTGAGCAAGTCAGTTTAATTTAATGGCACCAAAATTGGACAGTAACTCTATTGCGGCCTTTAAGTATTGAGGTTTGTCACCATCAGAGCAATGCTAGAGAACGAACGTTAAGTATGTTGAAGGAGATCCGTTGATCAAGCTTTCACCGGAAATTGACAAAGTATTTTCTGACTTTAGAATTCATTGTAATTAATATGAAAAACTGCAGAGACGAATGTGTATCTTTTTAGGCTTTGATCAATCGCTGCACTGCCTCATATCCACCTTATTTTTCCCGTAAGAATGGTTGCGGCCATTTGTAAATTTAATGTCTCTGGCTTACGGTCTCTTCTACGTCCAGCTATTTTTAGCTGTGCAAAACAGCTCTTTTTGCTGCTTGATATTGCAAATTGGTGTGTCTTACCAGATTCATTTAATGTATTATCTTAATTAGGAACACACTGGTTTGCAGTGCAAACAGTTTTACCATTTACTGCACTTTGTTATTCTTCTCGGTATTTCCCTACGGCGGCTAACGAACGCACATTCACAGAAAACGGCTTACTTCCGCATTGAAGAATAAGGTGGATAAGAGTGCACTCAACACAGTGGAGAATTCAGAAACACTTGTTCATAGTCCGTGGTTCTCATGAAAAAAAGTTTAAAAATATTGTGAAAGATAAATTGTCCTAATTACAAACAACCCTTGAAATGTAACAATTTAAAAACATTAAAAATTATTTTTTTAAATAAAAAAAATTTTAATTTTAAAAGGCTCTTTTACTGATATTATTATATAAGTACAGTTTAAAAAAAAAAACTACTGAACTTTTCTTTTCCCAATAGGAGTGTGGAACAGATTGTGATTGGCTAACTGCTGTGATGTCATGTGAGTGACAGGTTGCTGGAGGGATTATTGTTATTATATTATATTATTATATATATACATCAACTATATATACAGTATATATATATATATATATATATATCCAATACTTTTGGCAATACAGTGTATATACACACACACACACACACACACTCTATTTCCCTGAAACAATCGTAGTCTTTGGTAGCTATGCAGCTCTGCCTGCTGTTTGCAGGATCTGTTCTTGTGTGCTTATGCGCACTAGGCTGCACAAAAATTTTATTCATTGCATATCTGGTTGTCACAATCTGAATTATCCACTTTTCACACATAAAATGGATGACAAATCTGTGATGATGCAAAATAAACATAGAAATCAAGAAACAGAAGGAAGACATTTTTACATTTATTACAGCAGCAGGATAAAGTAAAGTAGCGGCGAGCACGTATGACACAGATGCTGCAGTGGAAGCATTATGAAAGCCACTCTTATCAAACACCTCAGAATGGACAGTCATGAGAACAACACACAACGCTGACCGATCCATTACAGATCACAAAGACAGGAGAGAAAGACAGCCGTCAAATCAGACTGAACAACAACGCCTGATGTCTGATTCAGTCACGTGGAGAAAAACAGACAGAACACGGAAGAGAAGAAGGATGAGGAGGAGACGGAGAGAGCGCTTAGAGGGTAGTCATGTCGTTTAGAGCCAGATCCAGCTCCTCGCTGAGGGCTTTACCCTTCAGTTTCTGAGCGTACACCTCATCTGTACATCGTCCCAGAGGAGAACACACACACACGAGACGGACAGAACGAAACAAGCAGCAGAAAAAGACAAAATAATACCGTGAGATGGAGGACCAATTTCAACTATCACAGTTGTTTCACTGCAATGTCTGAACAACAAGCAATCTTGGTTAGAAAACCTTGGCTCAAGTTTAATTTTCAAGCTCACTCAAAGAGTTGCTCTGAACTGAAACCCATGCTCTCACGTGTCGTCTGCTTATTCCCTCAACATCTAAGGTGTCAGAGTCACCTCACCAAAAACAGATGACATGCAGTTTCAGTCCACCAAAAGACACAAGATCCATCTGTTGGAAATGCACACAACACCTACAACATTTCAAGCAACGTTAGTATATGACAACTGGCTCTATCTGGTCATGCGAAACATTTTCCCATTTTTCTATAAACCATTTTGGTTTACAAAACATGGGAGAGAGGTTATAATTAGAACGAGTGAGACAACAAAACTGCTAATACACATAAGTCCATTCCTGTTATTTTGTCATTAGTACAGTCACTCTTTACAGGCAGCAGAACAAATCTTGAAGATGTACCTTCTAAATCATCAATGGTCTTCTCAAGCTTCGCCACAGACCTCTCAGCAAACTCAGCACGCGTTTCAGCCTGGAGAAAAGAAAAACAACATATTTTCATTCATTTTCTCAAAATGAATACTTCAGAAATATTACATGAACAACAGCGCTATTGTACCTAGTCACATGCGTAACGACGATCAATGAGCTGATCAAATGGTTGGCAAAATGGCCTGAATTGTTTTGTTATCTGAATTATTTATTTTTACACACTGAACTGTTTGAAGGGGTTTCTCACTCAATGAAACAATAAAGGGAAACTTTAGAACACAGGGAACATAAAGAGCGCTGGATGAAGTGACTGTGAACCTACAATCAAGTGAAACTAAACCTGCAAATGCATCCTATCTTTTTTTTTTTTTTTATCTCCGAGATAAAGAAGTTCAACATTGCACGGATGGACTAACCATATTAGTGAACCAGTGTGGGCTTTTAGGCAAGCAAGTGTCAAAACCAAGTTCATAAACTGTAAAAATATTTATATATATATATATATATATATATGTTATATGTGTATATATATATACACACATACATACACACACATATATACATAAATATATAGTCTTTTTTAGTATTTAATTAAACATAATCAGTGACAATACTCTGAAAACTGAACTGTCGTGTTCACTCAACAACCAGGCTAACAACCCCAGTCATAAAACTGTATCCATAAATAAAATCTCTAGCAATCAATAACCTACCAAATCAGTTCTGGTTACACAAATGATAAGACTTCAGTCTGTAACTGAACATGTGCCACTGAAACCCATGATAAGAAAACCGTGTTTGTCCATGTTCGCTAACAAAAAAAAGTGTTAGTAACTGCATTGTTTATTTCTGTAAGGATTAGTGCTGTGTGGACTGAAAAGCTTGTATTTATGCACAGTCATGTTTTACAGTTTACCACATTTTATTTACCACAGTTTACTGCAGTTTCTATGGTCAAGGTTGTTACGTCTGGTTTCAGATAGCTTTAACATGGAGCTATTAAGGCTCCCATAACATAGTGTATAATAATAGTGTCAAATTTAAATGAGCCAAATGGCTTGAGTTTATAGCTGATAGAGAGGAGTAGTTGTGCTGAATTTTCATAAACTTACCTCTTTGAGTTTGTCAGTGAGTACCCTGATTTCATCTTCATATTTGTCTTCCTTTGTGGAGTACTGGGGAATAAATAAAAAATGAATCATTGATGCTGCAGCTATCATTGTGTGAAGATAAACTGAAAAGCAAGAGCATTTTTTGCAATCTGTGCAGTAATTATGCATTTGAAGATAAAACAAAGGATTTATTTACATACCACTCAATATTTAAAAACTCTTTACAGGCTAAATACTCACTGCAGAATACTAAAATACATATGTAAATGTATTTTAAAAAATATGAAGAAGAACATTGCATAGCATTGGCAAAAGTGAGATGGCAGTGAAGTCTATGGAGACTGGGAGTATGAGAAAGCTATTTTACTCAACCAAGGGAACAATTCACTTTATTGGCTAATCGCACCCTGTATACAACACTGCTTTAAGGGGAATCTCATTTTTAAGTTTGGCTTAAAATTTGGATAAATGACATGTGAGATACAATCATTTGTTGTACAAAGACCAAATTACAACCACAAATACAGATAAGCCCCGTGAGAGTGAACATGGGCAGTCTGACTTGAAAATGAATAGCAGGGCATTTGGACTTTTCACTGCAAACAAACACTACGGCTCAGCCTACCTTCTCAGCCTGTGCCTCCAGGGACTTCAAATTGTTGGTGACATTTTTCAATTCTTCCTCTAGGTCACCAGATTTGCTGTACCACAGCAAGAGATGCGGGAAAAGAAAAGGCAAAGGAAAGGAGAGAGACAGCACTTTGAGAAGACAGAAAAGGCAGCGTTTTAAGCTAAAGAGACCCCAACCTGAATGAAACAATGAGGTCATTCCCCTTAATTTTGACTGAATATACGAGCCATTCAAAGTCCCAAGCACATCAGGCACTTTAAATGCCTTTACATGTTATTCACGAAACAGTTTCTTAAGAAAAGCAATGCAGAATATAACGGCACCTGAGGACTGGCTGCTTTAATAATAAACTAATCATTAATAAAATAATAAAAAATAATACAAATAAACTAAACAATAATAATAGAATTAAAAATAATGATAAATAAAATAAATAAAACAAAATATTTTCCTAGGTGCTTGTTACATTACAGCAGTAATTAAAGTGTGGTATTCCCCAAGGTTCTAGTTGAGGTCCCTTTTTCTTTTGCAAAAGATGCATTTATCTGCACAGGGAGAGAGCCCAGAAGAGCAGCACAGGAGGACACAGATCTCCGAAAGTGAGGACAGGTCAAGAGAAGCCGGAGTTAACGAGCTATATCAGTCTCTCGGCAGTACCTCTTCCTCTCCGGCCATCATGGATTTCATATTCTGGTCCATGAGTTTAAGTTCCTCCTCCAGCTGCCTGACTCGACTGAGTTAATCCAAAATGGGCCAGTGGGGGAAGGGGGAGGTAATGGGGAGTCACAGGATAAGGAGGATCATGCATTTTGAACACAAGGAGAATGGACAATCAGAAACCTTGCTGTTGTTAAATAATCCGGAGAACTCTTCTGTTATTTTATTAAAGGGGTGGTTCACTGTTTTTTTTCTAGGCTTGATTGTGTTTATGGGGTGCAGTCTAACATGTGTTAATGCTTTGTTTAAAAAAAAAAAAACGCATTATTTTTCACATAATTTACCTTTATTCCACACAGCTCTGTCCCTTCTCTGAGAAACACGCTGATCATTTCCTGCTTTTATGAAGCCCCGCCCTCAGAAATAGAAACAGTTTTTGATTGAAAACAATCAAAATGTGTTGTGATTGGCTAAACCGCCTCTAGTGCGCGTCTAAACGTCCCGTCCCTCACCTCAGCGGCATGTGCTCCGGTTGTATTGTAAACAACGGCGTCGTTAATATCGCTTATCAGTTTGAGCCCGATTGAGAAGCAGAGGATATTATTGAAGAGGATCGTGCAGAACCTGTGCAAGCACGGCTTTTAATGGGAGGCCTATGTTTTTTGTTTGTTGTTGTCTCATACTTTTAGATACGCTGTTATCTTTTAATATACGGTTTTATCCTGATTAAAGCTTTAATACAGTACGACAACTGCACGC